GAACTTCGTCTCCGGACCAAAGGTGAACGCGGCGCTGAGGCAGCAGATGCTCCATGTAACGAAAAGGGTTCGATCCATTACAGGTAGAGAAGACAGCTTTGGCCCCGACTGGAGGGCTGATGTAGAATCCCACAGGGAGGTAGTCTTCGACGTACGTTTGAACAACGCCCCCAGGGCCAGGTGTCTGCAGCATTTTGTAGCAGTTGGGTAGGCCATTGGGGTAGAAGCTGGTGAAGGCTTCGCGCAAGTTAGGTGGCTGGTCTCTGGCATAAGTCCGGTCCGGGTCCAAATTTGGTTGAGGCGGCGGCGATGGCCCGTTGGACATGGAGAAGTCACCCGCTGAAGCGGGTTGAGGTTGAGCCATGATGCTCTGTGTAACAGTCGGTTAGCACATGATGAGACAAGGCGCGCTTCATCTTGAAAACGAAGCAAAAACTTTCATCCCAGTTTCGAAGATCCTTAGGGACCATGAGATGGAAGTATTCACCTCGTCTCGATAAATCACAGTATGCACAAGTAGAGGTGTTCGAGGCTTACCTTGAGGAGTGAAGCGCCCGAGCGTAAAAGAAGGGCAAGTTATGGTTCAGGTTCAGGTATAAAATGAAGGAGATTAATATCAGAAAGAAGGTAGTTCTTTCCTCGAGTCGATCGATGCTCAACGCGCGATGATGCGCCGTGAGGAAGGAAGGAGCAGGGGAGATTTGTCGGTGTTCTCGAGATGAGCGGGAGTGAGGTTTGGGGAGAAAGAAAAGAAAGCAGAGGAAGGGATTTAAGAGAGAAACTGAAAACAAAAGTAAACCCGAACGGGGCGATGATTGTTCTGGCTTTGCCCTTACTGCTGCCGACACTGTCACCGAATAAACATTAAGTGACTGACACTGACAATGTTAGTAACTGGCACGCACTGATACGCACTGGCACAGCTGGCCTGCGCAGACGTGAACTGGTGATCAAAGTCTCTCGCTTGCAAGTATCCATTCGCCAACAATTATTTTATGCCTTTGCAGTGCTTGGGTGCTTGTGACTCGAGGAGTGCAAACTGTCAAAGTCAAACAAAGGTAAGGAAATCTTTCTGAACGGCTTACAGCTTGCTTGCTGCTCGCCTATAATGGAGCGTAACAGACTTTGGTCACAACTAACCTCAGGTTTGCCGGCATTTAGATACTAAGTACCTACTAAGATAATAGCAAGCAAGATTACCTAGTTTTGCTCGAGGTGCTCAACGCATCAACAATGCAGTCGCCCAAGCGTCTTGCAGCTCAACGCGGGTGCTTGCTGATTCTCGCTCCACACAAACGGCCACTCTGTTATATGTAGAATGTGAAATATCTGTCGGAGAACTCGTTTCTTGCTTGGTCCGGGAACAATTGCCTTCGATCAGACGAGGTTAGTGCCAGTGCCCTTTGGTGGCATACGGTTCACGTCTGGTAACTTTGGAGGCCAACTTTGCTATTGTTCACAGTGGGCTTTTTCGTGGATAGAGTGGCAACCACATCAAAGGGAATGTCTTGTGGCATTTCGAAAAGAAAATCGAGCGTTTGTCAACCTACTATCGTCGGCTCAAGATGGGTCACTAACGCAAGCATGCTAATATGGCTGATCGTCAGACGGTATCAATCATTGACTAGTATATACAGAGAGGGGTTATGCGATAGTTCATTGATAGTTTTAGAGATGTTACTTCTGTGCTTTCAGAAGCTTCAGGATCTCAGACTCGTTGTCGCCAGCAATGGCCTTGCCATTGTTCCAATCCACAACCTATACGTATATTAGTCAGTAGGCTTCCATCATGAGATTAAAGAGGCAACGTACCACTGGTCGAACAAAGTTCTCTTTGCTCTCTTTGAACTTCCTGAGAGCCTCCTTCTCGTTATTTGCGCCCTTGATCACGTTGGGGATACCGTTGCTTCCAACATATTCCAGAATTGTCTTCACCTGGTCGTCTGTAGGAGGATCCTCAGTGATGTTGAGCTCAAACTGGTCTCGAATGGGTGCCGTCTGGGCGGAGTGGTCGCTCGCTTGGTCAAGAGTAGCGCCAGAAGTGGCATTGGCAGAGACCTGCTTCAAAAGGTTGGCGACTCTGACGGATGCCGGAGAGCTAGCCTTGTGGAAGACTGTCACGATATCGAGTGTCTTGTGCTATATGTTTGTTAGCAATCAAGTACATCTGATCTTGGCCTCGTAACTTACGAAGCGAAACATTTTGTCCGGTTGTTCCTCAAAAGTTTATGTTCAGAAAACAATTATACAAAGTTCACGATTGTTGATTGAGGTTGACGTCGAAGCTCCGATTCGTTATAGCTCCATGAAGCTTGTCACGCCTTAATGGCTCGGGTCTGCAGGGCCCGTGCATAGACCCCCACCATGACACCCGCTATCTTCCGCCTCCTCATGGAAGACCAGAGATATATGATGGAGGGAACATCCTTGGGACATGTGTGTTTTAATCGCTATTTGCCCTACATCTAGGGTCTTTTGGAATCACTTGTAGACACAACATTAGAAATATTGTACTATTCATTTCAAATATCGGATCTTTATAGCTTCATCGTTAATCTCTGACCATGTTTATTTCAGAGAATAAAGCCCAAATGGGACAGATATAAACCTTTTAGCAATGAGTTATGACCTTATTAAGAATATATTAATCCTTTGCGGGGTCAAAGTTACATTAGTTCAACCAGTCACTATGTCCCGGCTACCTTAAGGTATGAGCGGCGTTTAGATCAGGGCGAATGTTCAAGGTCCACATCTCAGTAGATGCCTCAATTATCAGCCCTAGTTTTGTATTTTGTATCCGAAGCACACAGCAATCACGAAATGGTACAAGCAGATTGTCTAAGAGTGAAGTTTTCAAGAAATCAAATGCAACAATCGGATGATGCTTGGACAATGCATCTTGATTGTTCCCGTTTTATACTTACATACGGTATCACAGGCAGCAGCAAAAGAATAGCTGGGATATTCGGTCTCCATTACTTCCATATGTGCAAAATAAACTTTCTCGATCATTGAGAATTCATGAGATGTTGTTGAATCTCTCACGTGGCCTGCTGTCAAGGATCCTAGACAGGCGCCTCGCCAAGCTGATATCAACCACTTACGATAGAAGATCGACTGCAACAAGCATATGTTACAGAAACCCTAAGGAAGAGCTAAAATCTTTTTCTTTTTACTTATGACGTATGTGTTACGATCTGATGCGTTTTGTTGTGGTGAGCAAGGACTTTCTTTTATCATGACGTATTCTATGAAGTCAGGGTTGTGGAGAAGAGGTACGACCATGGCACTGATTCATCGTCGAAGAGGAACTACAAAAGGGTCTTGAGCTCGATTGAAAGTTTTTCTCATACAACATTCATCTCACCTCTTCACATAATTCTCCTCTTCAACCACTAAACACACATCTCACACACACTCATCATGTCTGGCTACTCCAACGTTGGTAACCGTGGTGTCTACGAGGCTGGCGATCAGAGAAACGCTCCTGAGTCGGAGCGCAACGTTGAGGACCCCTACAACGAGGGCAAGGAGAATTCCCACAACAACCTTGATTCCAGTACGTATTCCGCGGTTCAAGTGTGAGAAAATATTCTAACAAAATTGCAGAGGATGAGCGATCCATCGCCAACCGCCTGGCTGCTGAGGAGGTTAGTTGAGCCGCCGCAAGAGGATATCGGCTATATACTAATGTAAAACAGCAGCGATCCGAGCCTGAAGACGATGTCGAGACCGCCCAATTAAAGAAGGATCCCACTTTGCCTGTAAGTCCAATCGAGATCTGGTTTTGGCTCCAAAAGAAGGAAAGGAAAACACTAACAGCAACAACAAGGCTCGCGCTCACGGCAACGAACCTTCCAAGGGCGCAAAGGTGGATGCTCAAATCCAGGCTGAAGAGGAAGAGGAGTTGAAGCGCAAGGGCAAGGCTTAAATGTCACAATAACTTAGATCACGGCCGTTTCATTGCAGGCAAATGATTCGGAAAGGATGAATTAATGATTGAATTGCAAGCCGAAACGCGACTCTACATGGCAAATGTGAAAGTGAAGAAGGCTAAGTTAGTAGTTACCTAGTTAGTGGTGTCGTTGAAGTGTGAGTCTGTTTTAGTGATAGCCCAGTCAAACGCCCCGGCACATTGGGTGTCGTATTATATGTGCTCTATGTGTTACAAATTGATCATTAATAAACATTAGAGAGGGACTGTACAGCATATCACATGAATAAAGCCAAATGAACGGTATTGCTTCAGAATGTTTATAAAATTATTATTAATCGCAGCTTTGGCCATTATATGTCTGCTTGTAGCTGCTAGAAAGGGCGCGCAGTATGCTAACTAAAACTTGCCACTAGAGGAGCCGGATGAAGTGTATCACTATAGTCTTGAGTTAGTCTCTGTAAAATGGCAGGTCATGCAAGACTGAATATAAGACAGAATGTGCTTTCAGAATATGTAAGAAATTGAATATCAGCTATCCGCCCGATTTAGCCACTCCGGCGAAAGAGGACCATCAAGCAGAATCAATCGCAAATTACCTCATCCTTGTGCAAGAGAGAGAAGAAGGGGGAAAGGGGAAATTGCTGGATGCTTACCTTGATGCACTCAAAGATGTCGTGTGCCTCTTCAATCATTCATAAAGAGGAAGAGAATTGTTGGGCTGTACAAGACTTGATGTCTACCAGAAAATTTCTTTTGAAGTTCTCGTCGGCTGGCCCGTGCTCCGTTGCCGGGTATCTTGGGACGGCGAAAGGTTAGTCCGGAAAGATTTAGGCCGAAAGTTAGGGCAGGCGCGCACAGGATCTTTTTCTGCCCACGATCAAAAAGTCCTTAGCGATTTCAAGGTCCGCGGCTCCAGCAAACAACCAACTAACGGGACAGCATAATCGACAACTGGTATGAACCTCGACTCCTACGATCGCAGTTGCATTCGAACAATCATACACTGCGCGCGCGACTCTTGAAACATCTCGACTAATCGACCGTTTATTAGATCACCGTCACAATGGGCGACGCAGTCATTGAGGGTTCGAACTGGCGCCTCGTTGAGGTTGGCCGTGTCGTTGTTATCAACGGCGACCACCCCTTCGCCGGCCGCCTGGCCACGATCGTCGAGATCATCGACCACAAGCGAGTAGGTTTCTCCTGCTTCAGATCAGACTTGTCTGCCGAAACACGCGATATTGACCCCGTCACAGATTCTCGTCGACGGTCCTTCCGCGAACGCTAGCCTCGCTGTTCCCCGACAAGCCGTTCCCCTCAGCAAGGTCCTCCTCTCCTCTCTTATCGTCGAGGGCTTGAACCGCGGTTCCCGAACTGGTGTCGTCCGAAAGCTCTGGGAGAAGTCCGAGATCGACTCCAAGTGGGAGCAGACCAACTGGGCTAAGAAGCGGGATCAGATGGAGCGGAGGAAGGGTCTCACCGACTTCGAGCGCTTCCAGGTTCTCCGACTCAAGAAGCAGCGACGATTCGAGGAGCGCAAGGCTCTGGCCAAGGTCAAGGCCTCCGCATAAATGGGTCATTAAGCTGGAGTCACGGAGGTGCTTGAAAGTCGGGTTTAGATCAAGTGGCACGGAACTGGGCAGGAAACACATCACGGCGGTATAGAGGCTGCTGGATTCACTTTTGCTCCGTTCTGGAAGGCTGTATGTCACACTTCATCGTCATGATGAGCGGCGTCAATACGGAAATTCTGAGATCAACTGAATTCAAAGCATAAGGAGCATCAAAAAAGAACATGGATTCATTGTGAACTGTAGCCGAAATAAAAATGAAATGAATACCCCAAAACTCCGCTGCCTATGTTTGCATGCATGTCTTTGCACTCAGTCACTGTGTATCCCCATATTCAACCTTAATGATTGCCCAAATTGTCCATGGAATTCCCTCCACCCGTCGTCACTTTCTTGTATAGGTACAACAGGTATCCGGATTCTGGAGGGGGAAACGTAGTGACACAGATTCTGATTACCTAATGCGCCTTAGTTCCCACCTCCCACCAAGCCCTAGAATTATCGCTGTGCGAGGACCCCATCACAAAACGACGACGTGAGAGATCAGGCCAGCAAACAGACGTAACTGGGATCAGCAAAACAAGTAAGTTCGCCGCTGTCGTTACGTTCATTGTGTCATTTTGCTATCGATTTTTTGCGGTCTCGGGAAGATTTTGCTGCCACAAATTGTTTACCTGGGATTTACTAACATCTGTGCCCGCACTTCAGTCGCCAAAATGTCGAACCCCCGCGTTGAAGAACTTCCCGACGAGGAGCCCAAGAAGACCACCGTTCAGGAGCACGAGGATGACTCCAGCGACGACTCCGAGGTCGAGGAGGTCGGCGAGGGCCAGCTCCCCGCTGGTTCTACTGTGATCCACAACCGCAACGAGAAGAAGGCTCGCAAGGCCCTCGAGAAGCTGCACCTCACCCGCATCCCTGGCATCACCCGTGTCACTCTCCGCCGACCTAAGAACGTGAGTGCCGGCGGATTTGTTTTTTTTGTAGAGATTGGAGGGATAAAATGAGGTGTTGGTGCTAATAGAAGTGCTACAGATTCTCTTCGTCATCAACAACCCCGAGGTCTACAAGTCTCCCAACAGCAACACCTACATGTAAGTTGCACTGTTGTAAAATGATGGATCTGCCTCTGACCTCAAGCCAGTGTTTTCGGTGAGGCCAAGATTGAGGATGTGAACGCCGCTGCTCAACAAGCTGCTGCTGCTCAGCTCGCCTCCGCCAACGCTGAGGACCACTCTGGCCACAACCACGGTGAGCCCAGCAAGGCTGCCGAGACCTCTGAGGAGAAGAAGGACAAGGAGGAGGAGGAGGATGACGATGATGATGATGATGACGAGGAGGTCGACGCTTCCGGACTCGAGGATAAGGATATTGAGCTTGTCATGACCCAGGCCAACGTCAGCCGCAACAAGGCCGTCAAGGCGTTGAAGGAGAACGACAACGATATCGTCAATTCCATCATGGCTCTAAGTATTTAAGTCTGAGCTTCTGCTGCACGATCATCCAAAAAAGCATGTACATGGGACGAACATTGGGCTCTTGTATTAGTTCTTGGCGAACTGTACCCTGCGGAATGGAGTTGATGCCAAATAACGGAAACAATTGAAGGGGAATAACACCCAAAAATCCGTCAAAGAATTCTGTTGAAATTTTGATCATGCGTGATGTTGTATTCATGAACTGATTGTGACTGGCTGTGGACTTGATATTCGTTTTATAAATGATGTATCTCATGACTACCTACTGATTCCATCAGTTGCTAATTGCTATCTACCTACGTAGAGTCACCGTACTCAGATTCTTGAAACTTTCTGGCACCTCGTACTTCATCACTCTCTCGCCAATGATCGGCTTTTGAACTTCAATTTTCCTCATTCTTGTCCTCGCTCATCTGAGCCGACGTCAATGAGGGGTCCGAAAACGCCGCCCGCCGGATATTTGAGTTAATGCACGTGACTTCTTAGTGCCCGGTAGTTCCCTGAACTTCGGCAAAGTCATCAACAGTCAATCAAGATTATCCTCTCCGCTCTCTCGACATCGTAACCTTCCTCAAAATGGCGACTGTAAGTTCAATTCATCAATTGGCGCGTGTGACTGATCGCAGGTGCTGCCGAAACCCCCCCGGGTCCCGATCGCGCGCCTCTACGTCCCAGGATGCCTTGAGCTAATTTTCCCTTTCTCCGACAGCGAAGCGCAGCTCTCAAGCTTGACTGGACCAAGGTCACCAGCTCCCTCGGCCTCCGTGGCCAGACCGTTGCCTCCCTGCAGGCTTTCAAGAAGCGCAACGAGGACGTCCGCCGCAAGGTTCAACAGCTCCAGGAGCAGCCCACCACCGTCGATTTCTCCCAGTACCGATCCGTCCTCAAGAACCAGGCTATCATCGATGAGATCGAGAAGCGTTTCAGCGCCTTCAAGCCTGTCACCTATGATGTTAGCCGACAACTGAAGGCCATCGACGCTTTCGAGGCCGAGGCCGTCAAGAACGCCGAAGCTACCAAGGAGGCCGTTGACCTCGAGCTTAAGGATCTTGCCGCTACCCTCAAGAACATCGAGGAGGCCCGACCATTCGAGGAACTCACTGTCGTACGTACCACCGAAGCTGAGACTATAGAATCGATTCTCACAAGTTATAGGACGAGGTTGCCGCTGCCGAGAAGTCTATCGACGAGAAGACTGCTCAGCTCGTTTCCAAGGGCCGATGGATGGTGCCAGGATACAAGGTATGTTGTGCGGATGACAGAGGAAATGACAGTACTAACACCCACTGCAGGAGAAGTTCGGTGACTTGGCTGTGGTTTAAACGAATCGCGATATACCTTTTCCGGCTTCGCGTTGTGTACTCTAGCATTGTAGATACGAGATCCCGAGGGAGAACCCGGCTTATCTCATACCCAATTCGCTACAATTTTTCCTCTGTGCTTTATAATGAATTCTTATTGGGTTGTTGAGAATGCGGTTCGATGTGAAGCATAGTGTTCAGGTTCTCAGTTCCCAAACTAACCTCAGACTTCTCAAATTTATGTCTTTTGTTTGCCCAATTCACGCCGAGCATCGTTTTTCATTGTTCTCGTCACTTGCGAGTGCTGTCTTAGGACTACTTTTGGAGTAAATCTTCACTCCTTCGTCGATATTTGGCCCAACACCTTTCAAGTATAGAGACAGTCATTGCAGGAGGTTGAACATTCGGAGGGAGACGTTGGCCGAATTCCCATACACCCAATGCACCGGGCAATTTCTTGATGTACCCAAAGTGAACCGTAATCTGGCTGTAGGCACACCATCCGATCAATTTCATTATCAATATGTCCGGCAATGTTTCAGTCATCTGCATCATCATTATGCATCTCTTGTCATACCCTATATCTGCAGACAACCTGAGAGTCAAGTCCAAGTCCGGTGTCGGATTACATGAAAGGCAATACACTATTTGAAACAGTTGCTGATATTCGAATTTCATGAGTCGATTTGTCAAGATTGAGCTCCCCAAGGGTTTGTTATACGTTAGCTTTTTAGCAATTAGACTTAGCCGAGCTTGGGTCAAACTATTCGGACCTGAGAGTCTTCTACTCAAAGAATGCTATTGACCAAGACTTCAAGACTCTAAATCCTCAGACCTAGCTCTAGGTAGGTCCTCTGTAGTCTCGTGCAGTATCTTTGCTGGAAGTCCTACAGCAATATCAGGGTCACGTGTCGGTCTTTAGCCTGAATACCCCGACTTACACAAGACGCCATATATCCCTCGTGATGTATGGTCATTATTGTGAATACTTCTCCAATCAAGTCCTTTATCAAAACACAAGATCAACATTTATCATGGTCTTTCCAGATTCGGAGCTCGAAACCTATGTCTTTAAGACGGCACCGCAATTAGACGCTGCCTGGCTGGCACATGAACAAGAGGCCAAGAAGAAAGGTCCCCCTAGAGTATTCAGCAGTGTAGAAGAACGACAACCGATTTATGCTCAGGAATGCCGCGACTTATATGCTCAAGTTACAGCCCCTGGAACCCGAGATCATGTGCTCTCCCAAGGGGTTACGAAGAAAGAGTTCACTATTCCCTCTTCTGTGGATGGGCATCCAATCCCCATTCTTCAACTGGACCTTACAGGTACCGAAGCTGAGGAGCCGGAGATAATCGTCATATTTTACCACGGCGGTGGCTTGAGGGTTGGCGAGGCGGATAGCGAAGAGCTGTCATGCAGGCATATTGTCAAGTCTGGCATTGCCAGGATTCGACTTTACTCGGTGGGATATCGCCTACTACCTCAGAATCCAGCTACCGTGTGTCTTTCTGACAGCCTGGATGGATTTCAAAAATTCCACAATCCAAAGATAAGAACTATCGTTATCGGAAGCTCGAGTGGTGGACAGATGGCATCTGCAGTGGCGCAAGCAGCTCCTCAGGGTACCATTCACGGACTTTTACTGAGGTGTCCAGTCACAGCGGACAGAGCTAGTGGCGAGGAATTTGTACCTGAAAAGTTACGTCCGTATCACACGAGCGTGTCTGAAACGTTTGTCACATCATTGGGCGGATATTTGCAACGAAACAAACCTAGGGATGGTCTTGAGAAACTACCTCTTGAGGTTTCGGAAGATGAGCTGAAAGGACACCCTCGTACTTGGATACAGCTGACTTCAAACGACCCCTTATACTCGGATGGGCTATGCTATGCCATGATTCTTAGGGAAGCAGGTATCGATGTCAAGGTTCAAGTGGAGGTAGGCTGGCCACATACCTTTTGGCTCAAGGCTCCTCACCTCGATCATGCCTTCACCTGCGAGAAACATATGGTGGGCGGATTACGATGGCTTCTCGAGTAGGAGAAGATAAATGGGAGCGGAATTACTTCCTAGCATAGTAAATTTTGATCTACCTATGGTATGATTATTCTCTCCATTGCCTCTTCTACCGTGACAACGTGCCCCGATAAGCCCTTCAAACCCTCCAGCAGAGCAAAACAGTAAAAAGAGAAACAAAAACGCAATATTTCAAATGCAAAAATGCCATTCAAAGCTGTAAAATATTGGAATTCGTTCCATATACCAAGCCTTAGGCGAGTCCTTCAATCAACAAAGAGAGCAAGTTTCAGATCACAACTCTGGCATGTCGTAGCGGCGGAGGTACGGCGAAGAACCAACGCACCAGTAACTGAAAGGTCAAGGAGCTGCCTGGGGTGGGAGTTGAATACGATCCTTTCACATTGAAGCGGCAGGTATTGTTGAAAGTGTTAGCATGAAACTAGACAAAACAGCGATGCCTTTCTTGACAGCAAAAACATTCAGGTCTATCAGGCAAGATCAAGAGCAACCTGCGAGTGCCAATATACCCACTCAAAGTCAACGGAAAGTATCTCCATGAGGCATCGCTTGGCCCCTAAACTCCAGCATTTGCTCTCCCGTCCCGATCATCCCTGGGTGTTCAAATTCGGAGTTTTTTCAAAGTATTTAATCCTGGTATATCATTTTCCCTCAAGGTTTCGCATATTGGGCAGTCCATTCCTTGGCGGTTGCAATAGCGGCCTGCTCATCCTCTTTCCAGCTCTTGGCGACATCTGCAGCGAGAGGGTCATCCGGGTTAGGAGCACCGAGGAGGGCCTGGATCGACAAGAGGATAGTTCGGATTTGAAGAGCGGGAGACCAGTTATCTGTAGCGTTTGTCAGCTTGGCCGTCCCAGACATGTATGCACCCTGATATGTAACCTACTCTTGAGGACATCGAGGCAAATGCGACCAAGCTTATCGACGTTTGGGTGGAAGATCTTGGTGAGGAATCGAATCTTGGGAGGAGTCATTGGATAGTCGTCGGGGAGGAAGAGCTCGAGGCTGAAAACACCACCTGGAGTTTTGTTTAGTCGGCAGATCAACCTGCGGTGACATAGAACATACCCTCATACGGAGACTGGGCGGGACCGTGAATTTGGACATCGAAATATCGGAGGTTATCTTCGTGAGGAACGGCACTGATTCCTGGAACACTGTATCGCGACGGGTGTTAGGTTACGAAGTCAAGGCGCAAGACCTGTAGCCTCGGGGATGACCTACGGCTCGGCCATGAGCCGTTCTGTCTCTTTGATAATGCGCTTGGGGAGAGCCATGATGGGGTCGGGGGGTACGTGAAGGTATTTCGATGATATTCGATACCGGTGGATGCGGTTCTTATCTCAGTGAGTACTTGTTCGTAAGATACCGTGTCGTCGTAGTGGTAGCTTTCGATAGAGGGGTTGTGGTTGGGTGAGGTCTGGAGTTGACTGCTTGAAATACCTGGCAGGCACTTATTAAGGTCAACGGCGGGGCAGTCGCAGTGGCAGGTAGACTAGAGCCCAGTAGGTATTATCGGGAAGCAAGCAATCTACTAACCTTAACAAAACCTGACGGGTGATTAAATGAAGGGAAGGATTCTAGCAGCGCATCACAAATGAACAATATTGTTTAACACCTGATGATCTAAATCAAGTGACGATTATCAACAAATAGTTAGGCAAAGGTGGGTAGATACTAGATAAGCCATATGCATCCATTACCTGTTTGTCTCTAGTAGAGAGAGTTATACTTGAAAGTACACGTCCTTTTAGGCGCTGTCATACAACCATTCCTGCGGTAGCTACTTACTTATGTGCCCAATAAGGTCGCGGCAGGTTCCGTCAAGTGCTGAACCTTTCACAGGCACTTCAATGGCGGGGGATGGGGCATGTACCACAACACCTCAAACAGCAAGGGCGGTACCATGTGGAACGACGTCGCGCGCTCTGACCACCTCCTGTAAATCATTCATCCAGTGAGGAACGCGAGCTCAGTTGAGCAACTTGGTTAATAACATCTTTATAAAACATTCGTATTGAAGAATACCTTACCTTGCCCTAGGTAACTCTTCTTCCCTGCTGTACTTAAACGCCTCTGTCCTTTTTTGGCCTCTTGTGGATGATGACATGATTCAAAGCCATTCAGTGGCAGTTCGCCGTGTCTCCTCTCCTTACCTCATATCATATGAGTTGCGACATGAGGAACGTCGTGATACCCTCTCGAGATAGCCCATCACCATGCCCTCCTTCGACCAACTTGCCGATGCCCCCAAGAAGGGCAAGGTCATCAAGTCTGCCTACGAGAGCGAAAGTTTTGAGTCAGATGGCACCATTCATGTTGATGGCCTAGTCGGCTCTGCCACTATCTCTCCTGCTGGGCGAGACGTCGCATTGGCTTCGTAGGTTAAAAGTGTACTGTTGACTTGATAGACTCTAACAACGAAATAGGCCTGATGGATTGGCAATCATAGATCTCGACTCGCCTTATAGCCCTCCGCGGCGACTGAGAACTCATGGCCTTCCGTGGTTGGTTGTGGATGTCCAATGGTCACCCTTTGCTGCTCGCGACTACTGGATCGTCTCAGCCGCCAATCATCGTGCCCTGGTATGGAATCTAAATCGCAGGGAAGACTCAAGTTCAGGCGCTATAGAACATTCTCTTCAAGGCCACAGTCGTGCTATTACAGATGTCAACTGGTCTGCTCACCATCCAGACCTCTTGTCGACCTGCTCAGTAGATGGCTATATTCACGCATGGGATCTTCGAAGACCGCGCCAGCCTGTTTTGACCTTCTGCGACTGGACCGCTGGTGCTTCTCAGGTCAAATATAACCGCCAAGCATCTCACATCCTCGCTTCTGCTCACGATCGATGGTTGCATATTTGGGATGAACGCCGTTCTTCTGAGCCTCTGAAATCTATCAAAGCTCACAAATCCAAGATATATGGCCTGGACTGGAATCGATCTGACCCCAAGGCGATCGTCTCCTGTTCCATCGACAAGAGGATCAACTTCTGGGACTATACCGCTGAAGAGCCCTTGCAGCATACCATTGAGACTGGCTTTCCAGTGTGGAGAGCTCGTCACACACCTTTCGGACACGGCCTCCTCGCAATACCTCAGAACGAACCGGGTGATCTCTATCTCTACAACACCAACTTTGAACCAGAATCGAAAGTGACAAGTCAACCAATCGATGTCTGGCCAGGGCACGGAGATCACAAAGCAAAGGAATTTCTGTGGCGATGCCGTGGCGGCATAACTGACGATGGCAAGGACAACCGTGAATTCCAGCTCGTTTCTTGGGGCACAGACAACGAACTGAAGCTTCAATGCATCGACCCCAAAATCTTCGCCGCTATCGGCCATAAACGCGGCATGCCAGCCGATCCAGCGATCAGTATCACTCGAAAAGGCGCAACATACAAAACTTTTCGTACAGTAGACGAAAGTACGGATCGCGATCGTAAATCTGCTACAATGAGTGATCACCGGCCTGGCACCAGCTATCATAAGCAAAGTGCTCTTACTCTAGGAATGCGATCAGGCACAACTCAAAGCCACCGTACATCGATGGCATGGCGAGGTCCTTCAATGAAGGCCAAGGTATCTGGAAGATCCGTCGATCGTAACCAGTCGCAAATAGGATGGATGAAAGGAATTGCCATGACTAAGAGAAAGGCATCAACGAGCGCCAAACGACACTTATCAAAAGACTCGGGTATCTTTGGCCATGGATACCCTGACGATGAGTGGGGAGAACCTGAGTCTATTCAGGAGGAGCTTCTACGCATCAGCCATCAACTTCCCAAAGTGAGGTGGGACAACATTGATATGGACAGTTTGACCCTCAATGCCTCACTGAACGGCCCTTGGGGTGCTGATGGAGAAACCATATTCGTTAAGGTTCGGATTGATATTCCAGCCGGCTATCCCAAGACCAGGGCACCAAAGTTCTATGTTGAGAAATCGTCCTTCATGCCTGCAGAGACTCACAAAAAGATTGATCGCGAGATTCACCAACTGGCCAATCAATTCTTGCAGAGAAAAAAGAACTGCCTCGAGGTTGCCTTTACGTATCTCCTTGGGGAAGTTGATCTCGAAAGCAGCACAACTTTCTTCAAGAATGTTCGAGATTTAGATGATGAACTTGATGGCTTAGCGGACGAGAGCTCTAGTGAATCCGACGAGGATATCCCCGCTGGCGGTTCAGCATCCATGTCTCAAGAACTGCCCCCTCATAACGAGCTGGATACCGCGCTTGCGCCTCCGAATAGGACAATCGTGCCACCGCCACCCAGGACCTGCGGTGCCAGGTTCTCACACAACGGACGACTGATCTGTTTCTTCCCCTCCAAAGAGGAAAAGGCACGCGCATTGTTCACAACCACTATGGACGCTTATAGGGAACGCCCAAAGGGTGAACCATTCTTTGCGGGCTTTGGCAGAATCGCACATGATCTTGGGCCTCGACAACGTTTTATGGCGGAAGACAGTTCCGCATCCAGCGGGGATTCCGATACCTCTGCCTCTGGATCGTCTTCATCCTCGTCATCTTCGAGCGATTCAGAGTCCACGTCAATGCACAAGATTAATCTCTGGTATCACCCTAGCCGCCAATTTAGGAAGACATGGAGCGAAGACAGATCAATACGCTCGAGTGGCGGTGGTACAGGAGTAGGCACTGGTACTGGCACTGGCACAAGTCGTCGCAGGCCTGGTCGGCCCAAGAACTTAATCTCGATACATGACTTCCGTGGTCTTCTACCCTCGAAAGAGGAATTTGCGCGTGAGTACGCCATCTTTGGCGATGGAGCCGAGGTCTGTGAGCACAACGCAAAGGTTGCTGAGAAGTACAACGCTCGAGATCTGGTTGATGTCTGGCGATATCTTGGGCTTCTATTAAAGAAGGGTGTCCCACTCGAGATACTCGCTCACAATCAGAGGCGCGATTCTATTCTGGTGATCGCCCATGATGTGGTTTCCAGGTGCAATGCCGATACCTCTCCTCTCGATTCCTTTTTGGAAAGACATGAAGGTGCATTGTCGGGTAGAGTCAAATGGGGTAGGCATCCCTTGGCCAGGGACTTCATCATGGACCTTTTTGCATACTATGAGCAGATTGCTGACATCCAAATGCTGGCAATGCTTTCTTGTATATTCAGCGAATCTTCTGCTGCAGATAGTGTGGCTTACTTTGAATCGCATCTACCGCAGCCCGAGACACCGCTCCCTTTCAAGGCACCAGCTTTCTCGCTAGATTACTTCCCCACTGATGCCTCACTATGGAATATTGGTGGACGCAGTTATACCAACTCAGCTATTACAACACCGATGACAGTGCACACTCCTGTCCACTATTCTGGATCTCAGGCGTCAGACGATGGCATATGGGGTGGCGATGCAGCATCGAACTCGTACTCTTGCGGAGAGACGCCGCCAAATAAATTCAAGGGGTATTTGGGGGAAGTCGAGGCACCGCCCAGCGTGTCTACGTCTCCAAACACCCGCTTTCTAAATAGAGCAAACTCGGGTCTGGCATCAGCTTTTGCTGCCAACCTGCCACGTTCGTTTGCAGGAGTTAGCTCGTCGTCACCTCCAAATCAAGTAAGAAAGAGACCCAGCCCTGCTGAGACGATTCTCAGCAGTCTGGCTCCAGGCAATGTTACATGGAGTGCGTCGACCGCGATGGACTCGAATGGTGGGAGAACCTCTTTGGATGATGACGATTATGGGAGGGATGATTATCTGTCACTTGTGCCCACAAAGATTGCCGTCACAATGGAGGATCAAACCGCATTCGACGATGATGGTTGGCTGAACGTATCCATGCTCGAGTCCAGTCAGGCGGATGTCCATGCTCGTTATCGATATGCGTATGCTGAAATGCTGCAAATGTGGAATCAACCACTCTCCAGACTCGAGATTATGAAGTTCAACTCACTCAAGGAGGACATGACTGGAGGGCATGGTGACGACGCCTTCCATGAGCCAGGCGCTGGCCACGATGGCAAAGCACATAACTCATCGCCCATTGCCATGGGCAAGAAGGATCAGCTTCAAGCGTTGCTTGCATCGGGCCGCGGTCTTGATGTCACAGGGATGTGCCGCATACACGAAATCCAGCTGGAACCGCTTCGTTATACTTCCAGTGACTCCAAGGTCGGTGGTGCTGTTGGTACATGTGATCGCTGCCATCAAACTCAGAGTCAGCTTACATGTGTGTACTGCCTTGAGCCTGTGGATGCTCTCTTCCCTCCATGCTTGGCTTGTGGTTGCGCAAGTCATGAGGCGTGTCTAGCAGAGTGGCATGCTGCAGGCGAAACGCAATGCCCCGCAGGCGACGAATGCAATTGTGTGGAGGAGGCAGCAGATGGCCAGGTTGAATCATGGGCAGCCCTGCAGGGAGCCATGCTCAAGGGGCAAAGACATATGATGATGCTGCCTGGCCCGGCCTTGGATGACAGCGACGACGACAACGCAAAGATGCCTCGGAACTGGGAGAGAGCTGAGACCTCTTTCCCCTCGCGGATGCAGGGCCTTTCAGCTGCCAGTATAAGTCTTGGCAACAGGCTACGGAAATCAGCAGGAGAATGGTCACGAGCTTCAAGTTTAAAACGAAACGATCGGAGGAACGTAATGTAATATCTCTGAAGGGTTATTCACTATCAGATTTGACGAGCCCATTGCTGTGTACACTAATGGAGGCTAACTGTTTGAGCGTTCGAATTTCATGTGTTGAAGTGAATATGTATCTTTTTACACACCACTTAGTTGCCGCATTTCATATAAGATAAATATCAGTCACGGCAAAAGGATCCTGGTAGTCATGATTGAGGAATTGCAATGCCTTGGGTATAAACCCCAGGTATGCATGTAACAATATCTAGGCAACTGCTTTGTCAATGGAGCGAGAATGGCATCTAGCATATGGGCAATTGTCACACCAATACTAGTATTTGGTGATGAAATACTGCTTTTGCACTGACGACATGAGATCAACTCTCGGGCCTTGTTCTAACCGGGTTTATAGGGAGCATACACTTGTTCTCTTTGCTTAGCAACAGTATAGCAATTCAAGTCACAGATCCTAACGCAACAACAATTCCCAAACTGTTTTTTTTTTTTTTTTATAATATGGAGGTAAACTACAAATACAAGAGAGAGCGTAACAGCCAGCATTGCACCCAAAGCATCAAACGAGGCCCCATCCTAATCCAATCCTTGTGCTGTTAGAAACAACACGACAAAATACTTACTTATCCAAAGTCGATCAGGCTTCCATCTGACATGTCTCATCTCGAATCGGGTTCTCGAGTCTCATTCGAGTCAGCACCCACAAGTCTCTGATTCTGTTGAGATGGTGCTCACTAACCTCGGAATACAGGTCTAGGTGCGTCCATTCAAGCTCTTTTGGCACCCTGCACCGACCGCGCCGTTGTCCGACGATCGACAAACGGACAATTGTATAAGGAAATAGTCCCTTGGTAAGATCTTCGCCAGCGAATGCAAGCTCTGCGACGTCGGACCAAATCAGCTGAGTGTACTCCACGCGTTGGGTATCTTGGTGGTAGCGGAAGCCATAGTACTCACCTCGTCTGTCTGTTGAGGAATTGAGGAAGGGTAAGTGACTTTGGTAGCTGCAGCTGGTAGGTCGCAGGCACATCATAGTAAACTCTTCAAGTTGAGGGAACGTCCTGAGGCTCAACGGTTGCCCAGCATATTCTGTCGGCCGGATGTGTGGAACAACTTGATCATGGTCAAATGTCGACGCAACTAGACCAAGATCAAGACTGATGAGGTCGAGTCCATGAGGACATCCAGGCTGCGAGGGCACGGGCTTTGGAAAGACCATGTTGTGTGTCAAAAAGGTGTCCTTTGTAACAGACATTTGTCTCGACCGATGGTGACTGTCTTGGAAACGAGTGTGGTGAAGTCGCTTGAACACTTGATATGGTCCAGGTCTGGGCATATGAGATCCGATGGATATCATTGCCTCGGTTCTGCGATAGTCATCTTCGCATCTAAGTGCTCGTTCAGGGAAGAAACTGACAATCTGGGGGCCAATGAGCTTGTCGATATCACTACCCATGGTAGCGAGTATCACTTGCTCTGTGTTGGGCAGTACCGAAAACATTGTAGAAGTAGCAAGACGGTGAGTATACTCAAAGCTGTTGAATTTGTGATGTTAAGATAGATAGATCTCTCTTCTTGGTGAATGCAGATGGATGATGTTGTGATAAGTCCAAGGTGCGGAGTATACCTGCTTTATAGTCCAATCCATGCCTGGAATATCGGTATAAAGATGAGGTTTTCATCATTTATTGGGCCTTGTCCATGTTATCACATCTCTGTTCGTTAGAAGGCTGTACTTCAGTTAGAAGCTAATGTCATGTCCTTCTCTGTTCGTCTGAACACCTTCTATCATATCGTTCATCTTAGTGTGAGGGGAGATGTATTCATATGTTCCATGTCAGATAAACAAGCTCAAGTATCTACTTACCTACTTTGAACTGTAGCGTGATACGAGAACAACATGGGATGTTCTCAACTTTGATTATAATTATTGAAAAGTCAAAATGTCTCTGTAGCAATACGCAAGGTATAGCCAATAGGGTCTCATATAATGAGAATAATATACCAAGATGCTTATTTCTAGCATAATATGATATATAGCATTACATACTATGCTAAAGAATATAATAACCTCAAGTCTTAAGGTCGTATAGTAATGGCCTTGAACCTTATGACCTAACTAAATAAGAGACTATATTAGGTTACAAGATAACGCAGTATAAAGAACACAAGTTGAGGAATAACACAGGTAATAATCAACACTTGGGCGACGATAATTATAATATACAGGTTTACCTGAGGATTGAGGAAATAGTCTTTCGGTGTTTATCGTTTCTTTAATCTTTCTGCTTCTTTCGGAAATAAAATTTACAACTACAATACATAACAGAAACAATATACCTTAGCATGTTTTGAATAACTATTTAAATAATTAGATACCATTGCTTGCTTCATCATTGAGTTGCGTAAAATAATAGCGCCTACACTATAGCTTGTTCCGATTGTTGTGCCCGTCATTTCTGGTTGAACATAGTAGTCCAATAAGTTTTTTTTGTAGTTTTTCATTTTTCATTTTCTGGGCCCCTCTCCATGTCTGTTCGTTCTTCATTTACCCCTAAGGATTGTCAAATTGTTCTTCCCTATGTTGGTGCCGTTGTTGAACATCACGCACACATTAGTTGTTCGGGACCTAGGTACTGTTCTTGTCGTTCAGAGCCGGTCAAAGGTGTCCCATCCAGTTCAATTACCTTGAATACGACTTCGCCTTACTTCCACGCCAGATTCGCTCCATCCATCCCGTTGCAAATCAAACGTCAGAATTCTCTCGACAACCACCCATCTCATTCTGTTTTCGTAGACGACTTTCTCTTCACCAGCTTGCCATGAAGTGATTCGGATCCATTTCTGTCCGTCATCAGGGGCCCTGTATCTACCTTCGAGGAAGGCAACCTTGGACAGCATGATGCTGCGGTGTCTGTTGAGTTCGTGGCAGTCCTCTTTGCCGCAACGGCCGTCTTTCAAGACAGCCTGTGATTCTGGCTCACTCAGATCCAGGGGTGCCATCTCAATGATGTTCTCGTCCACCCAGAATCTGAACTGCTTCGCCAATTGTTGAAGTCGCCCTCTGTATGGCAATTCTGGATTCACATGGACCATCCACGCTGGATCTATTTCCCCGACCTTGACAATCCACATATCTTCCACGTTGGGGAACCAAAACCTGTCGAACTCGATTTTCCCAAAGTCTGGCTGCCGGTAACACGCCGATAGATAGACAGAATAGTGATAGGGTCCCTCCACCCGTCCATCATCAGGGAAGCAGTCCCAGAAGACAAGACGCCGTATCCGCGGGGCAAGACCATCTAGGTACTGGTCGGTCACCTGATCTGAGATCCTGTGGTCACAGAGGAGGATGTCCCTGGAGAAGTCGAAGTATGATCCATTACCAATTGGTTCGTACCCGACGCGAGTTTCATCCCGCGATTCCGCAGTGAGTTGTGTAACGGTAGGCAAGGGATAAGACCGGCTCTTTTGAACCAGGTCACCGTACAAAACGATACGGGGCTCACTGGCTCGTGACCATATCTTTAGACGAAGTTCTGTTGGTAAAGAATTAAAGTCAGTCGTGGCCGAGGCCGAGAGGGACAAAGACGACATGGTCTCGAGGTTATGAGACGAAGAAGACATGTCCATCATAGTAAATAGAGTGTGGGGTATATGAACTCCAGAGAATGAAGACCAGCAGAAGACATCAAAGTTTGGCTGCCAAACAAGAGGCATCAGCCGCGGTTTTAATCTCACATCGGGTATATAGTGTCGAACCCCAGAGCAGGGGTTCTCACGAGGACAGACGGAAACGGTGTCATACCTACAAGTAGGGGGGGGGGCCATGACCGTTTGCGGCACGTCCGGGGCGGGGGGGAAATTGATCCTCGTGAAGCCATCGTCGGACGCGGTGCATACATGCATGCGTGCGTGCATGCATGTAAGGTATGTAGGTGGTAGATAGTAGATAGACTATGTGCTGTACATACTGTGTCACAGCCCACGAAAACCGGGATAGTTCACCGACACCGCCCTCAGCGGTTCGATTGCGGCATGCTGCATGGCGGATTCTGATGTCTCGGTCAATCTACCAATGAGACAGCTTTCCAAGGAACAGAGTGGTGATGAGACCGGGGGAGCCGCAGATGGTGCAAGATGTTAAGTGGACGATCACACTTGATCGAACATTTCGCGCTTCTTGTTTACCTCTTGACTCTCACTTGTCTTGTAAAAAGCAAACCTGGCAAAAGCCTCGAAACGCCCGTCCGTCGTTTCCCCTCGCCGCCCTTTTTAGCTCATCATCTTTGCTATCAGTACGATTTATAGTCTTGTCTTGTTTTAGATCAAACGTTTGACAGAATGTCTGGTCGTGTACGTACGGAGTCGAAACAGCAAAAAGACAACGCTCAGCATTCGAGACAGCCGAGCAGTTTGTGTGTCTATAGCATTAGTGAGTTATGTCTTGGATAATGGCCTGATGGGAGTTGGACGGTGGCAGACTATCCCAGTCGTGGCTGCATACGACGCAAAAGCCTGCCGTGGGCAAGACCGATACGACGCGATGCTAAGGCCGGAGAGATCAACCAGAATCAGGATCTCCTCAGCCCGGAGTACACTCTCCCCAGTTACATACAGCCTGGAGGTGACCGCTTATGATGCCGGGAATGTCGATTGTCCATCACGAGGCTAGTATCCGTAGGTGACAGTTGTCCGAGAACGTGGGTCAACGCGCGAACAGACACTTTCAGCTCAGCTCAACACACCAAAGGAGCGAGTTGATTAAGTTATCCATTTTAGGCTTGTTTTCGATCTTCTTCTCCTGTTGGCAGTCTGAAGATGTGTCCTCTTTATTGCGGTAGACGTACCGAGTCATCTTCCGATCCTACACTCCGTACTCCGTACTGTAGAGAGAAAAGCTGGGAGTTTGGTATGGACCCAGCGGTATGGTTGGCTTAACAAAATGTGCTTGAAATGAGGCGGAAGGGCTTGGATGGGAACCTGCAAGGGATGTCGGGTAACCCCGTGTGGAGTCTGTTAACTTGAGGCGGAATAGTACGCGATTGGTGCCGGTGAACTGGTTCTGGGACAGTCCAAGAATGAACGCCTTTACCAAGTCTGGTTATGATTGACAGTGAGATCTGACTTTTAGGGCAACAAACAGTGGGCATCCTTGATGACTACAGACAGCGATGGTGATGAATGAAGGCTGAACGAATGTATGTCGGGCAATAATACCGCGTTCCTATTTCATTTTGCCATCGACATGATCCAATTTCTCCGATAACAGCACATCAGCAGGTACGGGTGCGTGGCTGGTTCTGGGTCCCGAGACCACGTTTTTCTCCAAATCGATCTCTCAGGATCGGGAGAGCTAACCTGATCCATTGGCTAGCAGACGCGAAGTGGTCGCTATTGAGGAGTGGAGATAATTATGTGGTTTTATAAGTGTGACAGGGAGAGAAGGCCTGCATTCTGCACGGTTCATTCTGTATGCTGCGTACCCACGAACCATGTCTAACATATCAACCCAGTTTCTCGGTTAGAAGTCACTGAATATGCCAAGGCAGACTGACTGGTCAAGCGGGACGGGATGGTGGGTGGTGGATCAAGGAAGAGCGGTGATGTGCTCAATATTGGAATGGCTGATGACTGCTTGAAACATCGGTGTACATGCGTGTCTGGGTATACTCGATGTTGTCACTTTCGGTATCCAATGCCATCAAAAAGATCGCACTGTAGCCGCCAGACCTGAGTTTTCTCCCCGGTGGTGTTCTCTCCTCCTGTAATGCAAGGTGCTGTTTGTGAAATCATGCGAGTGATGAGGAGTCGTCAGGCGGTTGAGTTGGCTCTGCTTGTGTAGGGTAGTGAAATGGCCCGATGGTTGATCAAAGCTTCTTTTTGACTCTCGGTCCGTTTGTCGGTATGTACATTTTCTATCGTGTTTGTCATGGCTATTTCGACTTTGCGAGAGGAGAGGGGAGGAGAGAAGACGAGACGAGATGAGATGAGGCGAGACGAGAGAGAAAACTCCTGGTGACTCCACCATCAGTTGTGCAGTTCCAAGCTTACCTGTGAGTGGGAAGCTGCAAGTGTATCACCGACCCCACCATAATACAGCTCCATCCCGTCCTTCCTGTTCTCCCTTCCTGCCTGATGGAAGTGAGAAGTACCTCAACAGTCGAAGTACCTCCAAAATTCCAGAGACAATACCTACCAGGTACGTAAGGAGGTACTTACATATACGAATATTGTACTGCTGCTGCAGGATCAACATCCTCCGGTGGGAGCTGGAGATGACGATAAGCCCGTCACATCTCAACTATCAAAGCATGGGATGTTTTACCAGCCCCCTACATACAGTACAGCACAGCACAGCACAGCACAGCACAGCCCACACGGCTACGTACGGGCTCGCGCACGCACTTGTCCATAGTCTAACTTTGTAGATCCATCCCATCCATTTCCATGACGGGAGACGCTACGGCACGATCTCCAAGTCCACTAACCCTGGGCGACCCACTCATTGCCGGTGTCAATTGGCATCAACACCAGCCTCCAACTTCAGCTCCGGCCCCAACTTCACCAACAGGTTCAAGTCAACCCCCCGATTCTGATCCCGGACCCGGACCCAGATCCCGACGCCTCCAATGCCTTCTCGATAGCATGCCACCCCCTACCGACGACGAGACGCCGTTCCCCTCGCTAGACCACTCGGCCCTCCATGGCTTCGGTCGTTCTCATCTTTCCCCTGACGATGCCTTTGTGTCGCCTCCTCGAGGGCCGCGAGGTCGGAGCCGAAGACGTAAACGCCCATGGAAGAAGCTGATGTGGGTTAAACAATCGTGTACGCCTCAAAAGAATTCCTGCATTGGACAATGGCAGCTAACAATTGAGCCTACAGACCCCGATAACTACACAGATCAAGCAACCTTCCTCGAGAATCTCCAGCGCAACCCTCGTCTCAAGCCATATGACTTCTGGCCACTCGTCGCTGACTCTACAGTCATACTACAGCACGTCTGTTCAGTCATAATCTTTGTTGTTTGTTTTGTTGGCATATTTCAGGAGCGCGTATCTCCTGTTGCTGTCACAAGTTGGAGCAGCTTTGCTACGTTTGTAGGATGGATCCTCTGGGAACGTTGGCTATCAGAAATCGAAGACACGGATGATCCGAGTCTTGGCGTGGCAGCGAATGTGATGGGAAGGGCCGGTCGGACCGGAAGTCTAAGGCGACCAACCCGCACGGGCAGTATCCGGCGTCCACCTCCGCTCCGGGTCGAGTCGGCGCCGTCTACCGCCGCACCCTCTGTTGTCGCTTCGGCTGCGAGTTCAACAACTAACCTGCATGCGCCCAGCACGATGCATCGAGCTCAGTCTGTTTCAACGACCTCCCTGGCTAGTGGCATCGCACACACTCCACGAGCGAGTCAGGAACATCTCCCTGAACTACCGCCACCCCTCCTGGCAGAAGAAAACCGATATCGACAGAGAATGGAGACGGTCAAGTCTGCGATTCTTATCTATTGCACGCTCCTTGGACTGAGTCCCATTCTCAAGTCGCTAACACGATCAACATCAAGCGATAGCATATGGGCTATGTCATTCTGGCTTCTCGCGATCAATATCTTCTTTTTTGACTACTCTGGAGGTGTAGGTGCCAAGTTTCCTGCATCGCTGTCCACAAATGCTGCCTTGATGGCATCGACTGTACTCGCCAGCCGACTGCCATCAACCAAGCAGGTGTTCAGTCTGACACTCTTCAGCATCGAGGTGTTTGGGTTGTTCCCAGTGTTTCGACGCTATGTACGACATCGAAGCTGGCGCTTCCATATCCTCTCTGCCATTCTTCTGGTACTAGGTGCAAGCTTCGGAGTCGGCCTGATACTGGGATACGATAAGAACACAGTTGGATGGCCGTGGAAGAGTGGACTGGTTGGCATGATTGTCGGGATGCTCATTGCCATACTGGCTACAGGAGGATGCAGCTGGTGGCTGATAGGGCTTCAGAAGTATAAGAACGAGATACGAGGGCCGTGGGATCCCGCGAGACCCATTATCATGAATCGACCTAGATGGGATGACGATTCATGAGGTGATGTCTTTTCTTAGGCATGTGATTATTATTTGCTTGCTCATGTATTTAGACCTGCATTCACTGTCCTGGGTAGAGACATCTCCATCCCAGTGACTACATGATGGAATTTTTAGCGCAAAGTCGCTGTCATTGTTGAAATCAAGATCTCCATTCGCATCATTTTCAAGGGAACGACGAATGAGTCCTGCTGTATGAGCAATTAATTGCCAAACAAACAAGGAACCTTGGCAGGATTTCTATGTTGAGCCAAGCTTTTTTTCCCCAACTCCACAAGGCTACGCTAGGACGCCGACATGGGAATTGTGTTACAGATCGAGGTTCTGAGGAAAGGGACAATTGACTTTGGCCCATGTTTGGTGGCTGAGATAATTGGAATGAAATCAGTCGTGGACGTTTGGTATGTGGTACGTACTGGGAATGGAGGCTACCTTACCTTAACTGCAATGTGCTATATGTATTATATGTATTATACACCACTAACCACTTGAAGAGAGAAACTCGATCATCCTCTCTGCTACTCAGCATGTATACCAAGATTTTCTTAACGAATGGAGATCCATATGTGGCGTTGGCGTGATGTGATGCCGTACTCGCCTGATTCCAAGCCTCGACAGTACATACGTTACTCTGGATACGAGATGCATGCACTGATGGAGCCGCTGATCGGTGATGCTGGTCTGGCTCTGCATGTGAGGATGAGGTCAAAAGAGACAGCTACTACAGCAGTATTCGTTTAAGCAGCATCAACTGCGTTTCGTGGAGTTGCACTGCCTACCTAGACACCTCCCCGAATTAGAAGCCGACATCCACCAATAGCGGCGAGGGAGAAGGACGATGTTTTGTTGGGAAGCATTGGATCCAATCCAATTTATCCGTTGTCGTACAACCTAGGCCGCCAAAAAGTCCTAGTGAGGCACTGAGGAGGCACTTTGGGACGACGCGTAAGTGTTTGTATGCACGCGCATGCACAATGCGTGAGGGGGCAATAAGCTGACGTTGATGGATGAGCTTGAGGATGTGAAGATGACATCCAGAAGAGAGACAACAGCAGCAGCAGTACCAGTAAGCCAGCTCAGCATTCAAGGTTGCCACTGCAGAGGCTGAGACGGTGCTGCATATCATGTTCTCATCCTGGTCTTTGTGCCGTTTAGTGGCGTTTCATAGCGCTGGTTAGCATGTATGTATGTTGACGGTTGTTTACATGTTTCTTCTTCTAACTAATATCTAGCCCTATCTTGTTCCGGATGGTATGCTCTGTAAGTTGAGTGAGTGAATAAGTGAGAGAAACCAAAGGAAGCTTCTCGTTGAAAAAAGAAAAAGGAGTCAACAGACGAAAAGAGCAACTTTGATGCATGAACTAGCATCATCATCAAACTTCAATATGGAGAAATAAAGTTATGGTAGGCTACTTCGTATTCAATACATCCAACGTGCGTAGGTACATACATAATTACAGTACATATGTTTCTGGATCTGGAAAGACATTGACTGTTGTGATGTTGTCCGGGGCAATAAATCCCTAGTTTCGAGGGTAACACCGATTGGGACCCCCCCTCCTCTTAAAACATGCACGGATGCATACCAAGAAACGCCATGGGCAATAATGGCGTCGCCCCCAAACGGCAATCGGCACAGGCAAGGCAAAGAGTAGCAGATTTAGGAGATGAGAGGCTAGAGAAGATAAAATGAAACTCAATTTTCCTTGTTCCGAACGTCGCTGCCGAGCATAAAATGACGGTTATTAGAGAAGATCATGGAAGATAGGTACCAAAAGAAAGAAGTAGAGTTTTATGAAACCTCAGACGATGACACCCGACAATTACGGGAGTTGTGAGAATGTTACTGAAATATGGTGATTGACAGGCCATTAGAACTCTAACAGCGCTGTAGACCCACCGAAAAAGGTCAGCGCCTATGCCGCAGGACTCGGCATGATTGGTCGGTCTAGGCGTTTTAGGTACAGTACATACATACGCACAAGGTTGCTGTCGGCTTTTC